AAATATGAGCACAACCCTCGATCGAGAAAATGAAAAAAAAAGTTTAATGTCTTAATTTTAAATGTATTAAAACATTTTAATATTTTGACGCAACCTCTGAAAGTATGTAAATCATGACTCGGGGGGGAGGGGGGCAGGACGGGACCACAACACTGAGTCAAAGTTTCACTTAGGAATATGTTCTTCTGAAATGCAGTAGATAGTCAGTGCAGTTGAAGGATTTTTTTCCCCAATACATGACCCCCGGTGAAGAGTTGGGTAGAAATGGGTGATCAAAGATTAACATAGGAATATATAGAAATAAATCTTTAATCTTCTCCCCAAATCATCAAAATAATGATTTACATGATGCATATGCAGGAAGTGTAGATAGACATTTGTGCAAACCATGTCCCCCTATAGAGAGAGAAGGGTTGGGTCACAAGATGCAAAGGAATTATTTTTAAAGTCATATTTATATGGATGCATATAAATAATATACAGTTTTTTTACTTTTGTGAGATATATAATAAAAGCGATTCTTCACTGGTGCTTGATTTAATTCTAGATTAAGTCAAGTGGAGACCGGTATGTCCAAATACTGAGGAAAGTGTCATCAAATATGAACTCTTGTCAGGAATTTGAACCTACCAAACGATAAGGAAACCCTTCCTAACAGTTAGAGTCCCCTACTTTTCTTTAAAGATTAAAGATCAATTAATTTTAGAAAAAAGACAATTGGGTACAATTGAAATAATAAATTAATGTATTAATTTTCCATCCCTAAACTTGATTTTTGATAAATAGTACATAAAATATTTATGACATGAATCTTTGACATTATTGAAACCAATGATGTGATACATTATAATATACGAGGGTTGTCCCAGAATTCCGTAGACAGGCGCGTTTTTTAGTTAATGAACGTCACTGGGAAATGAAACTTGTTCATGAAAATATGCCATACTGTTTGTAAAGTATTCAAAGTTAATTTAGTGGATTTTTTTTTCCAAATTAGTTTCATGTCAAGTATAAAGGGAAACCTTTTCACCAATATTATATATATTTGATCATAAATATACATTATCGTTGCAGTTCACGCATGTTAGTAAAGTTCCATTTTCCGTGTTAATAAAATCATTTACGAACCATTTATATGTAGCAAACACTCTGAAAGTATTGCATTGGCAATAGTGGTCCCCTACCGGCCAGTATAATTACACTTCCCGTTGAAAATTTACAATTTTGTCAAAAATCAAATAAACGAAACAAAATGCAAAAGTGGTCAATTATTCATCAAGGTACATTCACATAAATGTACCGAAAATCAACCCAATATCTTCAATGAAATATATGGAGATAACGCACAGTATCCAAGCCCAAAAGTCAGTTAAACAATAAATTGGAGCAGAGCAAACATGGATCTCCAAAACATCAGAGGTGGGATCAGGTGTTATGGAGGAGTGAGCTCCCCCTGTCGATCAGTACCATCCTCCTTGTGTGCTCCTTGTCATGCGTGAAAATAATAGAAAAAATAGTCGAGAATTCGATGTGTATATAATTGCCTAACAATTAGTATGAAAAAAAACAGTCAGCCTTTTACTCAAGGATGAAACAAATGGAAATAACGAATAGTATATAAGATCAAAGTCCAGAAAACAATGCAAAATATGAGCAGAGCAAACACGGACCTCTACAAAATCGGAGATGGGATCAGGTGCCTTGAAGGAGTGTGCATCCCCTGCCGACCAATCATGATCAGGAAATAACGGAAATATCTGTCGTCAATACAGTGATAAATAATGGAATAACAACTAGTATGAAAAACGTCAGTCAGCATTTGACTCAATGATAAATTGTACTTGCTGACAAGGTCATTGTATCGACCATAGAACTTATGAAATTATGACTATAAACGAGACTGTTAATATTCTTGTTTCATCAAATTGTTTATCAATAATTTACCTCGTTTTAGAAATTGTTCGTACGTAGAGCATGGTTTTGCGTATCAAATCAACTGATATATATAAACTCCATATGAAGGTAATGAAGAGATATACCGCTTCCTAGGAGTTTGGTTGTTAGATTGCCATTTACGTCTTTTTTCAAGTAAAATATCCAAGTATAAAACAGTTGTGTCAGCAGACTCTGTGTTTTACTTTTACTTGTCATTTTATCATTTCATGGAATTATTCCATTGTATGCCAATGTTAAGTATTTGATAAACAAAATACTCACAAATATTTTATTTATTTTATTAACAGAACATGAAGATCTGTTCACAGTTTATAATTAATAGTCCGCCCTTAAATATTATACGTATACGATATGGCTTCAGGGGCAACAATACCATAAAATTTGTCCCCAAGGTGACAGGAAAGCCCTGAATTGTTAAGTCGCCCAAAGCATATATATAACACTTTAGGGCTTTCCTGTAACTGAGAACGGCTTTCCCGATTGTTTACAGCATTTATGGGTGTCTGTTTGTGTTTTCCCGATGTCTACGCAGAATTTTATTGATCACTGCTCTCTGCTCCATTTATTCCGAAAACGTTCCTTTTTAACACTATCGATCCAGTCTAAATAGATTTCTCGAATTTTCGCCCATTTCTAAACTCTGAATTATAGTCCTTTTCTGAAATTCAATTCCTAGAATAAATTTAAAGTAATTTGAACACGTTTGAAAACTAATTCATGATTTCAGGTTGACGGAAATATCAAGGATATACCAGGGCTAACAAATAAACTAATTACTGAACTCTATAATGTACATAGAAAATATTTTATATTTTATACTTTCTCTCATGATATTTAATCTGTGATAAATTGATAATCGTGGATGTGAAATGAAATATACGGAGATAACGAACAGCTCAAAAGTTCATTCAATAATACAAAAATTGGAGCAAACACGGACCTCCAAAACATCGGATTTTTTTCCAGAAATAGTATTCCTTCAAGACAGCAAAATATTCATTTATTTGTAAGTCTGCCTCATCTGTTTCATATTTAGATATTTTTACTTAAAAAAAAATAATCGTAATTTGAAATTGAAGCTTTATGACAAACGAAATGACTTTAAGTTTTCAATCGTCAATTCCCCTCACTTATGCAGCAATATACCTTAAACGCCTGAATAAGGGGGTCATATCTAACAGTTGATTTTATACGCAAGAGTATGTTCTAAACAATTTCTTAAACGATGTAAATCATTGACAAACAACAATGAGTAAAATAATCACTGGCGTTTTTCATAATGATAGTTAGGCCATTATTACATACACACGCGCGCTAGCGCTTTATGAAAAATATGCCTACGTGCAAGTCTTGTGTGATTTACACACCAATAACTCACACCAAACTTAAAAATATTCCTTTTATTTACATTTTACATGTCTAAAATTACCTAAGATATACTCAATGTTTGAATTTCTCGCTGCCTGATATCTTTTTCTTTTTACTAACGACTCTGTAGCATATATATTTGTGTAGATTGCACTCCAGCATATCATATGCATTACTGTTCATGAAAATATATTAAAAATTTTGTAGTTAACAATATATTTATATGTATAAAAGACTAAATAGCAGACAGGTTAAATCGTTTTTGACTTCACAAATAAAGCCTAATTTCTTTGATACATATCTATGATAATCATTTTTGGAGAGTTTTGTGTGCTATTAATACATAGATTCCTTGCACGATTCTGAACTGGTACTTGATATGGTTCTACATTAAGAGAAGTGGAAAATTATATCTCCACATACAGAAGAAATATCATTAACCTTCAGGTGTTTGAACCTACCAAACGATAAGGAAACACTTCATAGAATTCAAAGTCCTCTACTTATCTTAGATTAAAGATCATTTTAATTTCAATTTTAGAAAAAATACAAATCATAAATAAGTTCGTGAAATATACTTTTAAGTCCTTAACGTTTGACAAAATTAACATATATTTTTCATGACATGTTATGACATGAATTTTTGAAATTATTAAAACCAACGCTGTGATGTAAATATGATGTAAATGTAAATATTGATCACCAACAGGAACTTCTAGTGAATGACGCTCACATCAATGTACTATAATTCCTTTGGCCTTTTGTTTCCAAAGAGATTGTCTATAATTAGAAAGGGACCCTATTGTTTGAATGAGATAAAAATGTAAATGTTGATAAAAAAGAGAAATAAAAAAAACCCCATCTTCTTCAAGGTTATCTGTGAAAAAAATTATCCGACTCGATTTTTAATCCTCCAGGAAATGATTTTATTCGCTTTTTATTCTTGAGTTCATCCAATTTTGATACCCTAAAATGTTTATCATAAGATTAGTCGGCAGGGGATTCTCACTCCTCCATGAAACCTGATTTTCCGTATGTTTTAGTGTTAAATGGACTTTTGGGCTTGATAACTGCTCTTAACTCCTTACATTTCATTAAGTAAACTCTTTGTTTTTACCCACAACAAATATGTTTAAAGGTAATTAAGTTTTGAAAAGTAGACATCTGTCTTGTGCATTTAAATTGGAAATGTACAAAATGTTAAATCAATACATATAAACAAAATGAAATTTTTGGTATGCTTGTATTTGTTTCTAATTTAGTAATTAAAAAGTTGGGATTTGCGTCAAAAAACTACAGAATTGACGGAGTAATTATGATAATCTGTCTATTGTTTTTTGCTTTAGTTCTATCATCTTTCTACGGAAGCTGGTAGCTATAGGTGCCACGTAGACAAAATATTTTATCTTATGTCCGCAATTTAATTTCTGTCGGCCGCTATATAACTATCTGGCGGCTGCCAGTTAACCTTCTGGTGGCCGCAGATAAAATATTTTTTTATCTTGCACCAACAGCTTCCGTATCTTTCAACGTTCTCAAATAAATAGATCATATACTTATTGATATGATAGAGATAAAAACAAAATGATATATATGCATACTGATTATTCAAATAGCAAAGATCGATTTGTTTGAGACTTCGGGTATTTAAACGCTTAACGTTTGTTATATGCAAAACGAAAGTAGGTTTTTTTTTTCGAGATTTACAGGATGTTTTTTTCGTACACCTGATTTATAAAGGTAAAAAAATTAAGCGTTAGTAATTGATATATTTTTGGGAGTTAAAAATTTGTTTATGACCTTTTTTATTTTAATTGCTTACAAAGGGATCACTAGTAATACAGTAACCACGCATTGGTGAAAATTAGATGAAAGAACACTATTTTGATTTTTAGTTTCGTTTTAAAAGCATATTTAATTCCTAAAGGTAACCCTCTTTATAATGTCTTATAAATGGGTATGAAATACTTTGATATACTGGAAAGGGGAAAATTGAATTAATAAAAGAATATTGTAGATACTGATTTTTTTTCTGAATTCGAAAGTTTTACTGATATTGAAATGACGCTCTTTAAAAGAGATGAGAAGATTGTAAGTTGTTTTCCTTGGCTACAACAGTTAAACTTCCAGATTATTTCTTTGTTTCCACATGTCCTCAAACTATTTTAATCTTAAATCTTTACCTAACATTACTGGATTTGAGGTTAAATTCCACGACTTTACACCTTTTTAGGCTTACATTCTTACCTTTTTTGCTTTTTTTCTTTCCGCAAAATCAAATGTTTTGATTTTAACCTTTAGGCTTTCTAAAATACTTTAGTCAATCAATCTTCCTTAAATTATTTTTTAAAAAAAGAATTAATGATATAATAAATGACAAGCTTCTTGAAAATAATCGTTTTTTTTTCTAACAAAATTAGAAAGTGATGTGAATTTATTAAATGCAAAACAAAACTTTTAAAAATGGTGTAATTACACATCACAGATTTTCAACATGTATCAGGAATGGATTTTATTTTCGAACTGCACAAGATTTCAACATACAAATAATATGATATAATAACTTTCGTATTTTCTCAAGGTCAAAGGTCAGGGTCATTTCATTTTTAGTATCAGTTTTTTTTTTCTATCTTTTAAGACAATTTGAGTTTCTTATTCATGGAATTTAATTTTAAGGAGTCAGATGTAAAACAAAATTGAAATTCAAAGAAGGTGGAAGGACCTCTTATTGTTCTGAGAACAATAAGTCTCCCATTTATTATTGATATTACTATAATTATTATTTTCCAGCTACGTCATCTTTTCAAAACATGAGAAGAGGAAAGGAAAAATACATGTGCTTACATTTCCTAGTTGTACTCATTCAGGTAAGGCCGTGTATTGTACTCTAACTACAGTGGTTTTTTGGCGGAAGTAGTAAAAGAAAATACAGAACAACAAATAATTAATCACTTTTGTGCCTCTGAAATCAGTTTTCAAAAATGCAGTCTTAATGTGACACTTTATAATTAAAACTTTTAACTAAGAGAGAGAGAGAGAGAGAGAGATTTTATTTAATCAATGTTTAATTATAAACGATCATAAAAGCTAGGACTTGACTACGAGTCTACGACAGTGCCTCTCTATAATACAAGGTCAAAGTCATACATGTATAATTTTTTAAAAGTTAACATTAATTACATACATGTAAGAATGTGAAAGTGTATAAAATATTTTTATGAAGATAAATGTGTACTCATTTTGACAAGGCGCATATTATGCCTAATTCTTTTTATTTTAGCTTTTCTAAAATTACCATTCTTTTCCAAATTTCAATGAATAAGTCTATATATAAATTTCCAATTTTTTGCCATCTTGTTGATGTTTAATGCTTAAAATAATAAAAATTCGAAAAGATTTTTCTTTGTTTTTACATTTATTATTACATTTTAAGTAGCACAAATTTTAAATTAGCAACAAAACAATTATTTTGGAAATTAAGCAAAGCAAATTTGGTAGGCTGAAATATATGGAAATAACGTATAGTATTTAAACTCAAAATTCCTTTAAATAATACAAATGTTGGTGGAAATTAAACACGGGCATCGAAAACATCAAAGGTGGAATCTGGTAACAGTGAGGATTGAGCATCCCCTGTCGACCAGAGTTACACCCGCTGTGTACTCTTTGTCATGATAAAAAAAAAATAACGGAAACCCCATCTATAATTTCAGATCATTGATACCGTTTTAAGCTGTCCTGCATCGATGCCAACTATTTCGTACGTATCCCATTGTCCAACAAGTCAAGAAGAATGGACAAAGGCAGCTGAACGGAAGAATTGCGAGAGCATTGCGGTAATTCAGAACTGTACTGATCGGAGTAAATTTCAATATCATTGTTTAATGAATCACTGGAAAAACGCAACACTTGAAGTTTGTGCGCCTATTTTCTACTTACAAGGTATGTCTTTACAAATCTAATGTAATGTTTATATACTTTTATTAGTATATGTAAAAATGTAAAGAGGTCAATTTTAAAGCTTGAAGACAAAACAGGCTTTTATAGTTAAGATAACTCATTAAACTAAATGCAATTTTTAGGATATTGTGCAGAATACAACATACAAATGAAACAAGTGGCAGAAATTTACGACGAAGGATTCGAATGTCTGAAGTTTAATGGCACACAAAAATGTCCACGAAGATACCTGTCCAATGAGGCCTATAAATGTAATGTCAAGTACATTTGTAAGACGTGTATCTAAACATGGAGGACTATCAATACAGCATATACATTCATTTCATTTTTTTTTCTTTAGATCAACGATGCTATAGGTACAAGAATATAATTATGAGTACCGAGAAATTAAGGTAAACAATTATTCGGACTTGAACTTGTGTGAAATAATTGATGTACATACATATGCATATGTGTTACAGAAGGCGGTGTAAGTAATATTAATTTACTTTATTCCAAAGTCGAATGAGAAAGAGGTAGTATTTTTTATTACAGTTCAAAAGCCAAAGACAATAGTGTGATTGGACTCGTGTTTATTGTCATCGTTTCACTTCTATTTGGAATCCTTGCCTTCGTGGTTGTGATGATGAGAAAGGGAAAATGTGATAAACTCAGCAAAGGTAAACAAAAAGTGGAACAATCTAGTTTATATAAAATAAAATGATGCTGGTTTTCATAATACACTGAAGGCGGCGTGTACGAGGCTAAAATGGTGGCGTTATTTGATCATAAAGTTCTTCAATAGCCCAAGGGTCAATGTCCTTCTCTGGCCATTACCTTATGTATGAGATCTTGACAAAACATTACTTGTTAATTCTTTAACTTAACATATCTACATTACACTTCATGAGTAATTTCTGTTTTACTTTTTGTTTTCCCCATCAGTGTTTTTTTAACAAAGAGATGGATAGAAATATGTTTTACTCCTAATTTATACACCGGTAATTATATGTTGTTCAAATTAAATCACGTTAGAATAAAACATAATTATAAGTAAAGTTTAAAACTGTTGACAGTAAAAGAGACACAAGCAAAAGAGCTGCAAAATAATATTAACATAATTTTATCTCTTGGTTTCAACAGACCAATAAGAATTCGGAACAGTAAAAACTTGATAACTAACTATTTCCAGAATGGCATATTTAATTTTATGTTTGTAAAATTTGGATATTTTCTCAACATATATATTTGAATATTTATATTGAACCACAATGCACTCGAAAATCATTTAATGGAAGTTAACAAAGATGTTAAACTAATAATTTTAAATTTTTGGAATTTAAATAAATAAACCAAAAAAAAAAAAAAAAAAAAACGCACAACACACAAAACCAATTACTAAAATATTGGTCATAAAAATTATTTTTGATGTATATATTAAGTTTGTTTCACTTAATTCTAACCATAATCTAATAGAAATATTCTTAAGCTGTGTTTATCTTTTTTTAATAGACCATATTGTGTATAAGTATTGCTCAAAACAGGGAATAGCATTCACTCTCTGTGAAACAGTAATTAAGGCAATAATAGTCATAATGAAAAGTATTCATTTTCAGGAAATATTGATTCAAGTGAGGTCATGACATTCTAAGGATATAGTGGGGTCACAATGGGGACGTAAAATATTCCTTTTTGTTAGAATTGGAATTAGGCGGAAGATTGAACGCTGTAACCACTACACTACGAAGTCTATGAATATTCGTTGTGTGTACGTGTGACTACAATAAATGAGTTTATTGAAGCTAATATTTTTTTCCAGAAAAGTTTGATTTTCACAAAGAATGGATTCAGTCTCAATTTGGATGTAGAAAAAATGTGCATATTGAAACTCATTTATACATTTCAACATAGGATACCTGCCTTAATTCTGCAGGAAATAGGTTCAAAGACAATGGACTATGCGTGAACAGAAACACTGTTGCTTACTTACATTGGAAAATTTAATGGTAACAAGCAAATTCAAAGAATTGCGGTCCCCCGCTTTCGGTGTCTTTGTGGGTGGGATCTCATTTTTATGACATATTGTGTCTAATATGAACAACCTATCATATGTCATTTATTGAGAAATTATCACTTAACTCCAAGGTCAAGGTCAAAGGGTTAAAGTTCTTGGTATCCAATGAAAAGTCTTCTCACAGGGATTACATATGTGAAGTATAAAAGCCCTAGCCCTTACCATTAAAAAGTTATGGTCAAGGTTAAAGTTTTTTCATATGTACGAAAAATCTCCAAGGTCAAGGACAAAAGGTCAAGGTTGTTGATATCAAATAAAAGGTCTTGTCACAAAATATACATATGTGAAATATGAAAGTCTTAGTATCTACTGTTCAAAAATTTGTGGCCAAGGTCAAAGTTTTTGAGAAGTTGTTGAAACTTAAAGGTCAAAAGGTCAAAGTTCTTTGTATCCAATGAAACGTCTTTACAGAAGAATTAAATGTATGAAGTATGAAAGCCCTAGCCCTTAGTGTTCAAAAGTTATGTTCAAAGTTAACGTTTTACATAAGAACGGAAATCTCCAAGGTCAAGGTAAATTAGTCAAAGTTGTCTATATCCAATGAAAGATCTTTTCACAAAGAATGTACATGTGAATTATGAAAGTCCTAGTTTCTACCGTTCAAAAGTTATGGCCAAAGAAAATGTTTGGAATTTTTGTGTAAAAGTGGGTCAAACTCCAAAGTCAAGGTCAAAAGGTCAAGTTTTGTGGTACCAGAAGAAAGGTCTTATCACAGGGAATAAACATGTGAAATATGAAAGTCATATCTCAACTAAATCAAAAGTTATGGGCAAGGTTAAAGTTTTTGTGACGGACTGACAGACGGACAGACGAATGAGATTTAATGTCCCCTCGCTTTCGCGAAAGCTGGGGACAATATAATGAATCCAGTTGCTTATTCCTGTTCTTATATAATGCTAAGCATATCTTAGTCTAGCACAAATTGTGTAATTAACTGTCAAAAACATTTTTTTTTCTTTCTCACTTCTAAAGGCAGGTCATTCTAACAGCATAAAACTGCCCTACAATTAAAACATTTTAGCATGCAGTGTTTAGAGCTTCCTAAGCTCTTTTTTTCCATTATTTAAACGTAAATGAAGAATGGAGACTTTTACACACTCATGTTGAAATCATTGTAACGGCTTTTACAAACCCGTATTCTACTAAATATAATTATAACCATCCACGTCAACTTTAAAATAAGATTATCAATTAACAAGCACTGTATAGTTCAATAAAATGATTGAATCTAACCTATTTATGAGGATTAAATGAAACAAACTTATAGTAAAATATCTCTGAGCGGGGGATGGGGGATGGATACCCTCACCCTTTACGTCATCTTTCTTAATGTGACAATGATCTAGATTTCTGAGTTGCAGTAAAATATATGGAGATAATGAACACTATCCAAGCTGAAAACTCCATTAAACAAAACAAAATAGGAGCAGAGCAAACACGGACCTCCAAATCATCAGAAGTGATATCAAATGTCATGGAGGAGTGAGCATCCCCTGCAGACCGGTCAGACCTACTGTGAGCTCCTTGTTATGATCGGTTAATAATGGGGAAAATCCGTCGTCAATTCAGTGTATAACAATGAACTAAAAATTAGTATGAAAAACGTCAGTAAGTGCTTTACAGTCAGTTTTGAATATTTTTAATATCCAAAAGAACCAAAATGAATTTGAACTTATATAATTTTGGATTCCGAAACTTCATAAGAATCCTTACAAATGAAGCGTAAGCATCCCCCACCGATAGTAACACCTGCCGTGACTCCCCGTCACGATCGGGAAAAAACGGAAAAATATGTTTTCAACTCAGCATATAAACAATGGACCAACAATCAGCAAGAAAAACGCCAGTCAGCACCCGACTCAATGATAAATTGTACCTGCTGACAAGGTCACCGTATCGACCAGAGAACATATAAAATGATCACTTTAAAAGAGACTTCTGATATTCTTGATTCATCAACTTGTTTGTCAATAATTTACCTAGTTTTAGAAACAGTTCAAACGTAGATAATGCTCTTGCGCACCAAACCAACAGAGATACATAAACTTCGTATGCAGGCGACGCAGGTACACCGCTGCATAATCAAGGGAAGTTGACGATAGAAAAGGTAAAGTCATCACGTTTATCATATAATCCGGCTGCCAGATCACCATCAACATCCTCCTCAAGCAAAATATCATGTACAAACAAAGATGCATAAAAGGTTCCATTAGATGTTTCACCAAGCCTCTTTCTTTACACCTCACACAAATATTAATAGTAGTGAAGGAGAAAGTTCAAGAGTACTTTGCAACAATATATTCAATAAGTGGTGTCATTGTATCGACCATAGAACCTACGAAATGATGACTTTCATCGAGACTGTTGTTAATTTTGTTTCATAAATTTGTCAGTCAATAATTGTCCTCGTTTTAGAAATTCTACATACTTAAAGCATGCTCTTGCATATCGAATCAATTGAGATATGTAAACTCCGTATGCAGGTGATGAAGGTATATTGCTGCATAAGTAAGCGACGTTGACGATTGAAAAGTTATAAAGTTATCACGTTTATCACAGAGCATGGTTGTTAAATTACTATTAACGTCTTTTTCAAGTAAAATATCCAAATATGAAACAGATGTGTCAGACTCCTAGGTATCTTTCATCTCAAGCTCACCTGGAATATATGGTGTCGACATTAGAATGGAAATAACAATTGTTAACTGCCAGCACGTCGTCGATATATCTAAATATCAAAATGAGAGCCATAGCTTTTTTTTTCTTCCTCTCACGTATAAGACTTTAGACAAATTCTGTTTCATATGAAAACAAAAAATTTTTCCTCTAATAACGGGGCGCAATTGGTACCCATGGGAAATCAAATGGATTTTTGGAAGACTTGGTCTTTCTAAGAAGAACAAAAAGCTACATTACTTTGTTTTTATGTATTGACAAACATAAGCATACTTTTATAAAAATTGTCTGTTCATTTAAACAGATGGCACTGAAGAAGGACGAACCCTCTTACATGTACAGCGGACGGAAACACCAAAGGAAAACATTTCAGAAGCTGACAATTTTTCTCCAGGGTGTCAACAGCCTAATAAGAATTCAGAACAGAATAAACTTGGTAAGTCATTATTCCAAATTTTGATTTTATGATTTTAAAAGTTTGGATATTCTCTCAACTTATATTAAGAATGTGAACTCCGTATTCTGTGCATTTATATAAAAACACAAAACACTCAAAAATCTTAAATGTCAATGATAAGCTTATTCCTTATTACCTCTTCATTTAAACAGATGACACTGAAGAAAGACGAATCCTCTTGCATGAACAGCGGATGGAAATGCCAAAGGAAAACATATCAGAGGCTAACAGTTTTTCTCCAGGGTGTCAACAGCCTAATAAGAATTCAAAACAGAATAAACTTGGTAAGTCATTATTCCAAATGATATATTAAATTTTATGATTTTAAAAGTTTGGATATTCTCTCAATATATATTAAGATTGTGAAATCCGTGCATTTATATTTATGCCCTGTTCACATGGAGAGATTAATTCGAATTAAGGTAGGACCAAATAGATAGGTCAAATTTTTCTTCAAATTCAGTTTTTCTGAAACTTTGATATTTTGTTCTTGGATACAGAATTTCTCTTTATATATGATATAAAAGAAATTCAACCGCACATTTTTTGCCCACATAGTCTGAAATATGGCCTTTCAGACCCCTGTTAGAAGTTTGTGAAATCATACATTCCACTTGAGAATGAGCCTTATTTTAGAATTTTCTATTGATCTATTGCAAATTTGTGAAACACTTTTAATGAAGATAACCTTTTTGTTACTTTAAATCAGTAAGTCACATTGATACTGGAAAATTTGGGTAAAATATTAAGTAAAAAAGAACATTTATTGTGTCAGAAACTGAAAATTCACATGTAAATATCCGACAGTTTAAGTTTTCAAATTGATTCAAATTGGTCCTAGAATAAAATGTGTAAAAATAAAGAAAATTGAACCCGTACAGTGGTTTCAGATATTTGGTGATTTATAAAAAATTCAATGGCAAAAAAATAAAAGATTCAGTAGATGACGTCACAATATTTGACCTTTGACCTCTTGATATGACCTTGACCTTTGTAGTACATAAAGAATAGAGACTCCTTATATATGTTTTCAAATATCAGCCCTCTACTATTTATGGAACAAAAGTTGCACTGCATTTTATAACAGACTGTTACATTATTGTCTATTGCACTTAGATAGCGTAAACACATTCCAAAATGTAAGCTCCCAAATGACCAATATATAGGATTCTCTGATTTTTTTTCACAAAATATAACGCATATTTGCCAAAACTTATTATTTTTCTTTCAGGGCTGATTCATTGTTGTCGGTATAGTAATATTTCTCTTTTTTCCTCCAGTACTTTTTTAAGAAATGGTTAAAATAGAACCCACGGGTGTTTTGTCCAACCTTAAATGTAAGTTAATGCAAATTAAATTTGAAATGCGTTCACCTGGGGAGTTTTATGTGAATTAGTTTAATTCAAATAAATTTATTGCACATTAAACTACTTCGCATTATCTCCGTGTGAACGCCAAGCAAAGCTAATTCGAATTAGATTTTAACGCATGCGTAATGACAAAATTAAGTCAAATGCCACATGACAGCGGTCAGCTATAGGTAAATGTACTCATGCCATTTTTAAGTGAAAATTAAGAAAAATTGCGTTAATTAAAATACTTCACTTTCGCTTCTGCTTCGCAGTTAAATTCGCATTATTTTAATTGGCATTATTTTATCTCGAAAAATGCGAATTAAGCTCTACGTGTGAGCAGGGAATAAACACAAAACACTCGAAAATCTTTAATATCAATGAACAGCTATTTGCCTTTTGTCCGATCACTCTTTTTCCCGTAGTTTGAGAAGATCTTAATCTGTTCTACTATCAGGGATCATTGGCTGGGGGCTATGGATATTATTCCTCTGTTCTCAGCACTTATGCTTAATATTCAATTAAAGTTGATAATATTTTAACTTTCGGAATTTGAATGAACATATAGCATTCATAATGTAAATGAACAATTTGCTTTCTTCAAAATTGTGAAAGAAAAATCAAAAGAAAATAAACGCTTGGATTATATTGGTCATATTATTTGAAATATTTTTAGCTCACCTGAGCCGAAGGCTCAATTGAGCTTTTCTGATCAAAATTTGTCCGTCGTCTGTCGTTGTTGTTGTCGTTGTCGTCGTCGTCGTAAACTTTTCACATTTTCATCTTCTTCTCAAGAACCACTGGGCCAGTAAAGATGAAACTCATGTGGAATCATCCTCAGGTAGTGTAGATTCAAGTTTGTTCAAATCATGACCTCTGGGGGTAGGGTGGGGCCAAAATTGCCGATCAAAGTATTACATAGGAATATATAGGATAAATCTGTAAAAATATTCTTCTCAAAAACCACTGTGCCAGGAAAGATGAAACTCATGCGGAATCATCCTCATGTAATGTAGATTCAAATGTAGATTCAAATTTGTTCAAATAATGACCCCCGGGGCTAGGGTGAATCAAAATGGCTGATCAAAGTTTATATATAGGAAAAATCTTTTAAAATCTTCTTTTCAAGTACTTCAAAGCCATGATTAGTAATATTTATATGGAATTATCCTCAGGTAGTGTAGATTCAAGTTTGTTCAAATCATGATCCCCTTGGGGGTTAAAATTCAAGCCCCCCCAACCCCCCCCCCACCTTAGTAAACTTTCAGTTCTGATCTGATATGTGCTTTTTCCTAGCCGATGTGCTCAGGTGATCGCTGTGGCCCCTGGGCCTCTTGTTGACGTATGGATCAAGTTTAACTAAAAGCGTAAAGACAAGGACTGGACCACAAGAGAGGGTCGAAATTTTACTTGAAAATATAGAAGAGATGTTTAAAAAGTTTCTTTTAATATTATTAAGGAGGTCATGATAAGTGATATTTTAAAGAGTTTAAAGATCCTCAAGTTGTAAAAAAAAATTCTTACTGTATTGTAAAACGCTTTGATTAGCATTTATGCCAGAAAGCGCTATATAAAAACAATCATAATTATTATAATCATTAAAATATCTATCTTGTTCAATTCCTAAAGGTAGGTTGAGGTCAAATGGGATATCAAGGTTACACTTACACTAGAAAAATTTACAAAAAGAATTCCCTTTGAATTTATTCTCATGAACAGCTAGTCTGCAATCATTCTAACGTACTCAGTAATGCAGATTTGTTCTTTTAAATTACGACCTTGTGTGAGGAAGTACTAATTCAAATGTCTATAATTGACAAATGGTGTAAGGGGTGGGGACATAGGGGATGATAGGGCTATATTGAAATGGAAACTAACAAGGATTATTTTATATTTGTTGATTAAGCAGGGTCACTAAATTCTAACATTCCATTCTGATAGAAATATTCAAAAGTTGTGTAGACCTTTTTTGAGTCACAGATCTTTGTTAAAAGTATGGCAGAAATCAGGGAGTAGAATTCACCTATGGGGTTTAAAAAATCATATTGCTAAACATTACTAAACAATGAAATTATTTTTAAATATTCTGATAATTTACATGTTGGTTATGGGGACTAGTTTGAGTGTTGCTGCAAATAAACCTGGAGTATAATAAGCATTGTTTTCACGAATATTAATTGTATTTCTATGGCAGAGAGAAAAATGAACATTTCTAAAAATGCTATAAAATTACATACGGATAGTACGTATAGATGACGGAAGTGCTAAAGGTAAAAATTTTAGAAATTTAAATTCTTCTTTAAAACATTTCAAGTACTCGAGCTATGAAGAATAATTTAGAACCCTATATCACCACTCAGTAATAGAAAAGGAAGATTTCAGCAAACTGAAGATGTTGGTAATTGCAACATTTTGATACAGAAGTATAAAAGAATGGTAAATTTTTCTACATACACATTTACATTATCACCAATGTATTTTGACCTACTGGAAATAAAAATAAATATTTTTTAAATAGTATGCCGTAAAGTCAAACTAGAAAAAAAAGTCATTTTCTTTGTCTATTGGAAAGTCACCTAAGCTGAGAGTTCGTTGTATTTTTTAATCATAGGGCGTTGGTCTTCTTTTCGTCTTCCGTCCGTCTGACCGTCTATTCATAAACTCTTCATATTTTGGTTTCTTCTCCAGAATCAAATGTCGACCCACGCCTTCTTTCAAGTGGACATTTGTCATAACTGACTCAACTGTTTAAAAATCTTTTTAAAAAAAGGAAAGACAAAATTTAAGAAAACAAACACCATTAGAGAATTTGTTTAAAAAGAGATCTCCTGGTATAATTAAGGTAGAGTTACAAATAAAAATCAATGTTTTACATAAATGTATACCGAAAAAATAATGAAATATATTTTTTTTACTAAAAAATAAATCCAGCAAAAATGCCAAAAATAAATCCAGCAATACCCTGATTAGTTTTAAATACGAGGGTTGTTCAAATAGTTCGTAGACTCTTGTCATAACTTTTTTTTTTTTTTAAATTTAACTTTGTATTATTACCAAATTTGGTTCACATACTAGTATTTAAGCAACAGATTCAAATAAAGTTATGGTGGCCCGCGTGGTCATATTGGTTAGAGCGACTGCTCTGGAGTGGCGAAGTATGCAGTTTATCTTTACATCGTGGTTTCGAATCCAAATGTGGAACTTGGATACCAGTCCTTTGGATGAGACCGTATAAACAGAGGTCCCTTGTCGCAGTAGGTGCTGGCACGAAAAAAAAAACCCACTGCACAATGGCCCTAAGTGCCAAATATAGGACAAAATTTGCAGCTCTCCACCGACAAGTGGTGGCGTCTTCATATGATTAAAACATTCTCGAGTGGGACGTTCAGCAATATACAATCAGTCAATCAATTAATGTTATGATATTCAAAGAATATACTGGGGTCACAATGGGAGCATGATATGAAAAATAGTTTGAATTATATTTTAATATTCTGATGACAAGATAGGGGACAAGTATAAGTGTTGCAGCAAATAAACCTAGAGTATTACATGTATAAACAATATTTATCTACATCTACTTTACATATACCCTGTAGGTCTACGGACGAAGCTTCAAGATGATTGTAACGAGTAAAGTCAAGTTCTTTTTTACAGTTCTTTTATTTTAATTAAATTATCAAATTGGCAATGTACGAAAGCCCAGAAGGCTCATTCGAGATTCGAGTTTCCAAATACGAGATTCGAAATTCGAGATTCAAAATTCGATATTCGAGATTCAAAATTCGAGTTTCGAGATTCAAGATCCAAACGAACCAATCAAAAGCGGGTTCAACATTTGATTATTTCCCTTTATTATGTTTTTACTATCAAGAAATAATTCAATATAATTATATCAAATGGGTCATTTCATTAAATTATAATGCAAGAAAAATTGTTATATACATTAGAGGGAAATTTAAATAATTAATGGATTTTTGATCCGCAATGAATATTTCAATTCATATTATAGATTCTTAAAAATTAAATAGATTACATATATCAGAAGTATATAATTATATTTTTGTATGAACGACTAATTACCGGCCCCCAGGAGGTGGTCGGTTATATGATGTGAAAGTTTGAAGTCACTGTGCGTTTCTGCGGAGTTAAAACAATTTAAATAAAGAAATATTTAACAGTAATATAATAGTATATTGTAAAGCATCGTCGCAAGCCACGGGTTTGGGTCCATTCTGTTTGTGGAAATAGAATGGACACAAAACCCGTGGCTTGCGACGATGATTAAAAAGACGGTCTAAAGGTTAAAGAAGAACGCACAATAAACATAAAATTAAAAATTGTTAATGAAGAATGAGGTAAATATTTCAACTAATACTGATTTAGAAATTTAGATATGTTTGAGGTGCGGAGAAAATTAAGACATGTGTTGGGCGTAGTCTAAAGCAAAGACCGCGTTATGTATATTACACAATTTTACTTTCTCTATTCAAACGGGATTTGTACGTATTTATTTTAAAATGACGTGTACATATGTACATATATAAACATTTTGAAAAATATGGTTAAATTCAAATTCATTAAAAGACTTAGCAGGCTACAAAATATTAACAAGATTTGGCCCTAGCAGACGAGGATAATGCACGTTTTACAATGTGCCAAGAATTTTCCCGCTACAACTCAAAGAGAAGAAATGTAGTGGCGGATCTAGAGGGAGTTTAGTTTTTTCCTCTAAGAGAGAGCAAGGATACCAACATATTTGTTGCATTTTTATTAAATTAAACTACACTGCATATCTAGTTATAGATTACATTAAATTTTAGTTTTAAACTTTTAATGTAAATGCCATACAGGCCGACGGTTCAAAAGTTGTTGACGCAGAGTACCAGAGGGTTAATACTGAACATGCATTATATATATAATTAAGAAAATCAAGCAATGTCAAGCACAAGCTTTTAATATCACGAGGATATATATTAAAAGATAAATATATGATATTTTAAAAACAGATCACCATAGTCTTTAGTTGCTTCATAAAAGGAACATTAATTGGTTTGCGGCCGATTTTTGACGCTTGCATCAATATATGTGCCTTGTCGTAATTCTTAGAAAAACACAGGTACGTGTGGACAAGACCCCCCCCCCCTCCTTGATATTGAACCCCGGGGCTTATTTCTCTGTTATGTGTAGCCTTACAATACGAAAAAAATCGCTGGCGTAAAACCCCCATAATAATCGCTCAACCAAAAAAAAAAAAAAAAAAAAAAATCAAAACAAAACAAAACAAAAAAAAACACTATTTATTACCCCACTTTACAAGAAAGAATGCTGTTTACGGAGAAAATGTGGGATTATTACGTCAGTGATGCAGAGTCAGTCCGATAGCATGGACTAAGACAGAAATACATTGTATATGTAGAGACAGTGTCAATCGACATTTAAAGTTAAAACAACATAAATGCATTTAACACCAGCGGGGGTACAACGTAAACAGACTGGAGTGGTATATCCTTCTCTTATAATGTATAGTGGGTATTTGGGGGGGGGGGGGTGTTGAGCGATTATTCTGGGGATTTTACAATTTTTTGTTATTGTATACATGATGAATAAGTTTAATAAATATAACTTGTGAAAAAAATGTCCAATAAGCCCTAGGGTTGAATATCAAGGGGGAGGGGGGGGGTGGGGTTGTACCGTTCACAAGTACCTGCGGTTTTCCTAACTGAGGAAATGCATAAAAATTAAGTTAAGTAGACAATTCAAAAAAATATATACTCCTTAAATATAAAATCTATTTAATATTTAAGAATCTATAATATAAATAAAAATACTTTTTGCTGATCAAAATTCCATTAATTATTTAAATTTCCTTCTAATATATATAACACTTTTTCTTGCATTGTAATTTAATCAAATGACCCATTTGATATAATTGTATTGAACTATTTATTGATAGTAAAAACATAATAAAGGGAAGTAATTACATGTTTTGATTGGTTCGTTTGGATCTTGAATCTCGAAACTCGAATTTTGAATCTCGAATTTCGAATTTTGAATCTCGAATTTCGAATCTCGTATTTGGAAACTCGAATCTCGAATGAGCCTTCTGGGCTTTCGTAGCAATGAGCTACAAACAAACAAAAATATATATACACACATTAGCAATAGAACACACAAACAAAAATAAAGTAATTAATCAGCATATCAAATTAAATTCAAACGAACACATACCACCAAAATATGGCGATGCCACACCAAGTCACTCACTCGTACTTTTACTGCACGTATGGTCTCTACAATTAAATAAAGAAGATACCGGTATTTATTATATTAAAGATAAAAAATATAGTATTTAGTGTAATTCAAGTTAAATAAAACACAAGATTTACACCATTCTTACAGTAACATGTATCACTCTCAAACTTGAATACGTTCCATTCAACATAGGGGCGTCAGCACAGTGAGTATAAATAAATTACTTGACGAATCAGTTTAAAATCTTAGAGATTTACTCAACAAAATAATAATTTTATAAATTCAAATCACTGCACTGAAAATCAATAAAAAATAGAAAACAACTAGATCAATATTCAAATAGAATTTTATAAGGATATTTATAATTAAATCTCTAAAGAAAATAAAATACCTGGCGCTAGGACAAAAACCCTATAAATAGACTATCGGTTTCAGTAAGTATGGTGCGCGTGTCGCGTTCTTTTAATATGCGCAAAATCAACTGTTACATGATCTTCGTCAAATTAAAGTTTCCTTTCTCCGATAGATATATTTACATCAATTTGGCCCAAATGTACATGTTGAGTCTTAATCTCGGAAAAATGAATTGCACTTTATTATTACTTATTGTTTTCAGGAATATAATTTTTATTCCTCTAGATCTGTCAGAGAAAAAACCCGAAACATTTCCAAAAATACTATAGAATTATATCATATTAGGAGTGTACATTCAATTAAAAACCGAGTGGCTTCTACCAAAATTTATGCGACATTGATATAGATTTCTAGTTGCAGGTATATCTAAGAAGAACAAAAAAAATGCATATTAATATTATGAATTACAGACTTATTAGCATAATTTTAAGTTGTCTATGATTTAAATAGATGAAACGAAAGAAGAAACTGATCTTCATTCAGCAGACAGAAATGTCAAACGTAAGCATTTGAGTAACTGATAATTTCCTTTTAAAACAGTTCATGAACTTTCATTATAAAGAATAAAAAAGCCCATATATATTGGAATTGCCATGGGTACAAATTGCGCTCCGTTTTTAGCAGACTTATTTTTATATTCATATGAAGCAGAATGTATACAAAATCTTATACGTGAAAAAATGAAAACACTTGATGTGGCCTTCAACTCGAAATTTAGGTATATGGACGATGTATTCTCAATTAACAATGGTAATTTCCATTCCTACGTCGATACGATATATCCTTGTGAGCTTGAGATAAAAGATACCACAGAGTCCGACACTTCTGTTTCATACATGGATATTTTACTTGAAAAAGATACTAATGGTAATATAGCAACCAAGCTATATGATAAACGTGATGACTTTAACTTTTCTATCGTCAACTTCCCTTACTTATGCAGCAATATACCTTTATTACCTGCATACGGAGTATATATATCTCAGTTGATTCGATACGCAAGAGCATGCTGTACGTATGAACAATTTCTGAAACGAGGGAAATTATTGACAAGCAAGTTGATGAAACAAGAATATCAGCAGTCTCGTTTAAAGTCATTTATTTTGTAAGTTCTATGGTCGATACAATGACCTTGTCAGCAAATACAATTTATCATTAAGTCAAATGCTGACTGACGTTTTTTATACCAATTGTTAGTCCATTTATACACTGAATTGACGACGGATTTTTTCCGTTATTTCCTGATCATGACAAGGAGCACACGTCGGGGACCATATGAACGAGGACGATAAAGAAGTAACAGATCTTTTCAATATTGCAGATATATATTTTCTGCTTTTGTTCAAAATGTATTGAGTATTGAAAAACAAAGAATGGATTTGTTTCAAAATCAAAATGTTTGATATTGTAGCAATACCATCTACAAAGTCAAAGCCTGCACCGGCACCGCCGAAAAATTTTATTAACAAGAATGATGAAACAAAGTGAGTACTTGTACGAGTAATATGGTACATCTTTCGATATTAAGGTGAATACTTTTTGTTTTCTGTTTCAAAGACCTATATACCTAGGTTTTCAGACTTGGTTGGAACAAGAGTATTATATAATTTCAAAACTTTGAACACTAATTATAAGATGAAATAGTTTTGGTAATATTTACATCCACTGAATATTTTTTCCTTTATTTCTTATGAAGACCATTGCCATTTATCAGTGCATGAACAACACTGAGCAAGCCACATGTGTAGTTTTCTTGATTAATGGCTGTTCCATCAGTTCTGCATATAATGAAATATTTATCTTAAAAACAATAGTTAACAAATAATTTTACTTTGAGTGATTTTTAATACAGATGTAAATATAAACAATAAAATGCTTTATTTGTTTATTAGTACGGGAACTAACATCGAAGCAATTGCAGAAAAAAATTACATAACCCGCTTACACGTGTTATGTATTTTACTGCAATAGCTGCATTATTAATTCCCGTACTAACAACTATAGAAAGCATTTTATTATTTAAATAAAACAATGACACTGCAAAGCGGAACAACAATTCGCATAAAGGATATCTACGAGGGCTGTTCAATAAATAATGTCCTGAACTGTATGACATGCAACTTTTCTCTCATCATTGAATCTTAATGAATTGATAACAGTTTATTTGACCACTTTTCATCACAGAGTTTCAGAGTGAGAAGCTGGAAAACAAGGGCTATTCGAGACACTGCATTAAAAATGAAGGGTAAAGAATCAGTAAACTAGAATGAAAATAAACGCTTCATCAAAGCTGCTGTAAAAAAAGTTGAGAATCCCAAAGAAATATTCACTGAAATATGTGGAATTTACATCAACCAATGTATGTTTTATAGACACATGTGCAGGTGGATTTCAATGAACATAAATGGTATAATGGGCATCAAAAATTGGTAGCGTCCTTGGCGATAAGGATTTACAACAACCATTGTATTGTTTGCCAAAATTTAAAATATAATCACTGATGATGTTTAATTACCTTTAAGACAAATAGCAAATTTAATAGACATCATCTTGGGGGTAGTTCACACTGTTTTAAAGAAACATTTGACAGTAAAAGGGCTTAGTACTCCATGTTTTGAAAAACGAGTGAGAACGAAATCGTGTAAGAATATCTAAACAATTATTTGAAAAAATCATAAATTGTAGTTATCCATGTTTGTCTGAAATTCAAGCAGATAATGAAACATGAATCCATTGCTTTAAACCCTTAAAACAAATTTACAATAAGATGTACTTGACGAAAAAGCAAAGATCTGAGAAAAGCAAAGAATTACAAATGCACAAACATAGTTTTACATGCCATTTTCTTTAATATTAGTGGCCTTGTTGTTCAAATTCTTGTTCAAGGTGCCAGCTCATTTTCTGAAGGAGTTTAGAAAGCAAAATTTTTGCAAAAAATCGAAAGGTTTATGAGAGGAAAAAACCATAATCAGGATTCCACTACATTAAATTTCTTCGTAACAGCGTCCAAACCCATGCGCCATAGAGAGTAAAGTAGTTTTGGAGATAATAGGGAAGTTTATGTATTGTCACATCAGCAATATTCGTCAGATCTTTTTTCCCTTTGACATGTTTCATTTTCCAAACTTAAAAAAAAACCTTTTAGAAAGAAACAAGTCCAGGAAAATATTCCAGTATACGAAGGGGCATACTCAAAAATGTTTTCTTAGAACAATTTGCAATTGGATAAAAACATTACAGACATGTATTTTAATTAAAAGAGAATATTTAAGTGAAATTATTAATTTGACTAAATCGTTGAAAAGGACATTATTTATTGAAGAGCTCTCGTATAAATCAAGGCAGCATTACCGGTAGACATCGATCCCGAATTAAGACACTTCCATTTCGAACATGATTACCTCACAAACAAACAGATACAGTAGAGTTAATCGTTGTGAGGGAATTACAAAGTATTCAGGCATTTAACATCACGAAAATGAACGAACGTCATAAAGAAATCCACCAATATTCGTGATTTTTACTTTGCTCTGCGTCAATAACACCTGTAGTATATAATACAACAATGTTAGATAGACTTTGGCCATAAAAACTCCCTCTTCGAACGCATGACAATTATTGAAGAAATTTTTATGAATAATTTTGTGGAGTTTGACAAATGGTGTTTGTATCTTTTTTGCATCCATTAAACAGGTTTGCAAATTATGGAACTTTAATGTTTAATGAAATTTACTTTGAAGGTCAAAATATCTTTACATACTAATTTGTTCAGTCTTTTGGTTCTGTTTTAGATTAGCTGAACAAGAACCAAAAACCGTTAAGATGGCAAAACACCTTCACCAACTCCTTCAAAGGAGCATGCAAATGATTAGTAAGTTGAAAAAGTTGAAAATGTTCGACAAATGGTTGGTTTTTTCATAAAGAGACAAATTTATCTCAGTGATTTTATTCAATCATTCTTTTTTTTGTTTTAGATGCTCAACTATTCAGATAAATACTGATGTCTTCATAAGGTCCAAGTGAAAAAGTTTCTGCGAGAAGCTGATTCATAAGTTTAAAAGACAAAGTATATAAATGAAAGCAAAATATCTGTGAAGTATTTTGCATTATTTTCATTGAAATTGATTTGCTCATTTTGTGTTTATATAAAGTTATTACACAATAGATAAACCAAAATTATCCTATAAAATTAAGTTTTTTTCAGAAATTCTAATATTTTTGTTCTTGGTTACAGAATCTTTCTTTATTTTTAGCTCTACTGGTCAAAGATCAGAAGAGCTTATGCAATGGTAAGGTGTCCGTCGTTCGAACATTTGCCTGGCTGTCTGTAAACAATTTTTCAAAACGCTAGTCCTCCTATAGTTTTGGTCCGATTTCAATATAACTTGGCACACAAGTAGACTACACAAAACTACATAACCTAGTGCATCGATTTTTTATTTTGATGAACGGTGTTGCCAGTATTACTAGAAATAAAAATTTTCATGAAATTCATTAAAACACTACTCCTCCTACAGTTTTGGTATGATTTCAATATCACTTGGCACACAAATAGACTATACCAAGATATCAGTCTACATTTTACTCAAAGATAAATTGTATTTGCTGACAAGGCTATTGTATCAACAATAGAACTTACGAAATGATGACTTTAAACGAGACTGCTGCTCATATTCTTGTTTCATCAACTTGTTCGTCAATAATTTACTTCGTTTTAGAAATTGATCATTCTTTTCCGTATCGAATCAACCGAGATATATAAACTCCGTATGTAGGTGATGAAGGTATATTGCAGCATAAGTAAGGGAAGTTGATAGAAAAGTTAAAGTAATCACGTTTATCATAGGGCTTGGTTGTTAGAATACCATTAACGTCTTTATATTTACATTTCCAATGTCTTTGTCCGATACACAAGGGTTGTCCCAGAAAATTTTGTGCGCTGGTGTTTAAAATTTCATTTATTTGACATCATTAATGACAAATATATGGCGATATTTGCCAAAGCGCTTTGAATAAGACATTGTTAAAAATGGTAACGTTAAGCGGTAATGTGGAGCAACAAACTATCATGCAACACTATGTTGAGTGGGATTGGACTCCTGTATGTAGGAAAAATAGATGATGTTAACGATGAAAAACCACAAATTTAACTACATGTATGAGAAAAACAGGTTTATCTCTAGTAGAAGGGACTCGAAGTCGACTTAACTGGTTATGCGATAGAAGAGAAAGACGAACTGAAAAGACAAGAGCGTGACGTCATAGGTCTACGTGAAGACTGCTGTTAAATAATTCGATCAGTTTGGATTATGATCGGGATTGGGAAATTGTTTATTAAAAGAATTATCTTCGCAATCTTTTTGTTATACTAGTATTTGAGATGTATAACTTAGTAACAAAACAAAACCAAATACAGTGCCGAATGTATGTTTACTGAATAATTTTTTAGAGGCACAGTTTCCAGAACGAATTCACAAACACTACGAGGTACGTTTTGACGTCGTCAGTGTTCAGCGTTGCGCCGACAGCTGATTTGTTAGATTCGTTTATCTGAGGGGAAAATTTGAAATTTTTAGGCAGGATTAAAAAAACGTTGATTACGATGTGTGCCAATTTTTAATTTTATAGCAATTGTGACACAAAAGATATTGAAAATGTTCGCGTTTTTCTGGGACAACCCGTAAAATTACAGATAGTTAATGTACTTTATTCCTTCATAAATGCAGTGGTTCATCTATAGGCGCGGTTAAGAAAAATCACGCGCTGGGCGTGATAAATGTAGAGACAGACGCAGGACTTAGAGCACGTGGATTGTCGGAATTAAGAGCATGTAAATATCAGGAATAACTGTCAGATTTTTTGATTTCATGACAATGATCAATCGATTGGCTTGCGTGATAATTTTTTTCATAAACGCCTTTGGCGTTTTATACAAATTATCACGCAACCCAATCGATTGATCACATCATGAAATCAAAAATTAGACAGTTATTCCTTGATTCAAGTAAAATATCCAATTATTAAACAGATGTGTCAGACACTGTGGAATCTTTTTTCTGAAGCTCACCAGGATATATTTTCATTTCTAATTATTTTTTTCTATGATAACCCTTTGAAAGTTAATGGAGTTGATTTCTTGATAATTCTACCGGAATGTTAATAAGGCAGGTCGATAGGTCAGGAGGTAAGGGGGCCAAATATGTATGCGAATCTCGTGCGCATCTGTCTCTGTGTCTGACGCTAAGGAGGCCAAATATGCATATAAATTTCGTGCGGCTGCCTTTGTGCTTGACGTCACTGGGCGAGGACTATTGAAATTCGCATGCGTGTCCTCATGTCATTTAAGTCTATGTCTACATTTTAAAAGTCTAAAACTACAATTTTATTTTACAATGAAATGGAAATGGAATTGAAATAGAAATCACTGTCTAGTTAGTATAGTATGCAAGGGACATCAACGCCTGTTATGCAAATTATCCCATGTTTCCCACCATCGTTGAATCCCTGGCATACTAAACTAACTAGACAGTGATTCCTTAAATATCGTATCGACATACGAA